GCCATCACCAAGGTCCCTGAGTAGCTCTTCGTGCTTTGATTAGAAGCCAGAGTAAGAGAGTTTCAGTATGAAGGAGAGCTAGAACCCCCAACCTCTGATCGCCCTAGAAAATGGAGCTTCAACCAGTTTGAGTTCCTTGGTAACGGCAGGAGAAAGACAGAAGAACAGAGATCCTGGGGCTCCTATCCTTCCCCCAAAAGATGCATGTTCATAATTAATATTTATATCCAGCCACATGATTAATTTTTATATCCAGTCACCTGGCTTCCTCAGGTGAATTCTGAACATCCAGGGCCATCTCTGAGCTGAGCTGCTCTGGCACAGGAGCTGCCCAGCCCTGGCTGAATGAACAGGTCAACCTTGGCCATCCTGAGCCAGAGGACAGAGCACTGAGCGTGGAACCGAGAATGCTGGTGGGCACAATCTGTCCTCACCTTGCTAGGTCGCAGGTGGTCCATCACAGTGGCTCAGAAGCTTTCCACACCAGACCCCTAATAAAGAGTGACACAGCCTCACACAGCCCAAGCAGCTATCCCCCGACCTCCTGGAGCTTTAAGATTCAAGTAGCCTTGGGCTGGCTGAGATGCCAAGAATCGTGGCTCTGTCATTTACTAGCTGTGTGACCTCAAGCAGGTCACTTTCCCTCTCTGGGCCACCTTATCCTCATCTGTGCAATATAGGGGCTGGGCCATATGATCACTAAGGCCTTTCTGGCTCTGAGAACGCTTAAGTCTATGGTAGACTCATGAAAGGCGGTGGGGGACAGGCCCATCAGTGCTCTGAGGTGGTGCCGAGTCTCATGGTTGCCATCAGTCCTGGCTGGGTAGTCTAGCAAGTACTATGAAAGGGCCTCAGGGACTCAGAGAGCAGCCTCTGTGTGCATCAGTGACACAGAGGAGGGGGAGGGCCCTCACCCAGAGCCTCCAGAGGCTGGGAGGGAAGGAGAGCATTAGGACTACCTTTTGTCGCTTTCTCCCTTGTAAGCCCAAGCCAGATGTGGGCAAAGGCCAGGGAGGCGGTGGGCCTCCTGGCAGGCAGACAGGCCTTTCCCATTACTTCCCAGGAGTTCCAGAGCCCCCAGGGAGTGGCTCCACCCCAGCTGGCTCCCCTCCAAGCTGGGCACCCACGTCAGCAGGTCCTCACAGCTCCTTGCCCTTTCACCCAGTGACAATAGCAAAGGCAAAGGGGTGGGGGTATGATGACCTGGGCCCCGTACTTAGAGAAGCATCTATTTCCCTGGGCATAGTGCTTCTTTTGCCCCTTATGCCAGGCCCAGCTCAGGGCCCATGAGTAAGGCTCCAAGTGGAATGCTCTTCTCTCTGGCCTCAGTTTCCCATCCTGCTCTCATGCCACCCCACCCCACCCCCAGGGTGATAAATTGGCTCTGAGGCATCAGGATGAACCATGAATCAGAGGCCTCAGTCAACTCCCAAGGCCTTCTAACCTTCATTACTCCAACTGTGAGAGTCAGAACAGCCTTGTAGGAAGTTTTTGAGGATTAAAGTTAAAAATATATCTGACAGCTAAAATGTATCTGTAAGTTCAGCTAGTGACATGGGCACTGAGGGCAGCTCGTCCTGGCTGGACCCCAGGCAGGATAGTGGCTAGAATTGGGCACAAGGCTCAGGCCTGAAGAGAACCTCTGGTTAAGCCTGCACAGTGGCTGCCACTTTGAAAATCACTAAATTCAACAGGAGGCAGCAGGGAAAGGAACCGTCACTTCTGGCCCTGGAGACTGGGAAACAGGAGGGCACTCAGGATGTGGGCAGGCTGAGAGGGAGGAGGGAGGAAAGCAGCAGGAGGAGGGCCCTAGGAGAGCATGGCTGGCTGGCACAGTCTGCTGGGACTGGGTTGTCCCAGATCAGGGACAGTGCCCTGGCACTAGGGGCCTTGCAGCCTGGCAGCCCGAGACAGGCAGTGAGCCGCCAGGCAGGTAGAGACTGGGTTTCCTAAAGGACAGTGGGCCCTGGAGAAGTCACAGTCTGAACAAACCCAAGGTGAGGTGACAGTCGTGGTGGAGAGGTCACCCCCGAGTTCACCCCCACCCCAAGGCCGCACCCTCAGGCCACTTTTCCCTGTGTGCCCATCACCACTGCATCCATTGCAAGTCCCCAGGTTCTGAGGTACTTTCACATGCAGTCACAGCCAGGGCGGGGATTAGCATCTCTAGCTCCACCTCCCCACCCCCGGAGTATGGGCATGCAAGAGCAGTCCAGAGAGGGGAGGGATTTGCCCCAGATCATACAGCCACATTCGGTCAAGCCCACGCTACCCAGTCCCCGCCCAGCCCCACACACAGTGCCATGTCCTCCCACACACCCAGTGCAACCGCCTGCCTAAGGGACAGGGAAGGACAGGATGAGAAGCAGCTCTGGCTTGGGCCTGGTCAGCTGTCGAGGTGAGCTGTGGTCTGGCTGCCCCAGCTGAGCTGGCGGGCACAATCTGTTCTCACCCTGCGAGGTCACAGACGGGCCAGGCACGGTGGTTCCACAGCTCAGCTGTCCAGGCTCCTGGCAAGGGCGACACAGCCTCACACACCCCAAGCAGCTGTCCCCAGATCTCCCTGAGCTTTAAAGTCAAATGGCCTTGGGCTGCCTGAGATGCTAGCTTTACTAGTACTGAGCTGCCCCCAAGGTGCTCTCTTGGAAACGGAGGGAAATCTGGCGCCTCATTAGCTCTTGGTTATTAATCACTGGGAGCTGTTATTGAGTACTTGATACCTCCCGGCTCTGCACTCTGTGCATTACAGACATTATCTCACACATTTCTTCCCCAAGCCTTGTGAGGTGGGTACTCTTTAGCTGCCCTTTACAGATGTGGAAATTAAGGCACTAAGAGATTTTTTAAAATGCAGTTAGTCCATGTCAGAGTTAGAATGTGAAGTCAGATCAGACACCAAAGCATCTGGTACCCTGTCTCACTATTCACTCATCAAATGTATTTTGGGCGTCACCCATGGACATGGCTGGCAATGCAGTGGTAGAAGCTAAAATGAAATACTACAAGGTCCAGGGTGCCCACCCCACCACCCCAAGCTACTGTTTAGCTGAACATATGTAGTTGGGGACCCTGGGAGGCAGATTAGGGGATGGTGGCCATATTGGACCTCGAGTTCAAAACTGAACATATCGGTGCCCCTGAAAGCAGAGATGACTTCCAGCTATGGGGAATCCAGGATGGCTGCACGGGAGAAGCATTTGATTACATTTTTTTTTTAAGATTTATTTATTATTACAAGAACTGGTCAGAGACAGAGCGGGGAGCAGAACAGGCAGATGGACGGAAAACACTGCTGAGGGGAGCAGCGGGTGAGGTCTGCCGTGCCATTTAGGTTTCTCCCTGGCTGGCTGGGATCGAATCAGCGCTGCAGAGGCTGTGGGCAGCTTCACAGCAATGCGATCAACCCGCTGCGCCACCAGGGAGGTCCTGGTTACATTTTGATAAGGTTTAGAAAGGAAAAAATTGGAAAGTCTACCAGCATTATTTTATTATAATACCCCTACTAATAAAAGTGATAAAGGTCTAGCAAAGGAAGCAGGGACGGGACTAATAAACCATATTTTATAAATGAGGAAACAGGTTCAGAAAGGGAGCCTGGCCACACAGCCACTACTGATAGGGTCAGAACTTGTGCCAAGAGCTTCTGAGTTCTCATCCAGGATCCTTTCTCTGGCAGTCCCCAGGCAGAACTCTTGACTGCAGGCCGTCTGATGGTTGGCTCAGAGGGCAGAGGAAGGTTTTGCCTCTGCCTGACTCCTTGCTCAATGAGGGCTGAGGAGTGGGGTGTGGGACAGGAGTTACCTGGTGGATGATAGTAACACCTGAAAGGACACCCGGAGTGCCTGTTTTAATAAGGACAATGCCATCTCCCCACGAGGACTGAATTATCCAGTCCCGGGGCCCCAGACAGGGAGCTGAGGAGGACCCTGAAGTACTCACTTTTTCCACCAGTTGAGAGCAGGAGCACTGACCCCGTTCTCCTCTGGCATGGTGGGCCAACTGCCTCTGAGACTGGGAGACCCAGTTACTAAATACCCCCCCATAAGCTCTGGCTGGCACAGGAAAGTCACCCAAGGACTCATCCATGCCTCAATTTCCCTCCCTCCACAATGACTCATAGGCCATCAGAACCCACTCAGTCCAACCTCCATCCCTTAGAGTCAAGGAAACTGAAACCCAGAGCGAGACAAGGAATAGACATGGAGCTATGGGCTGTCAGAAAAGTCATAATGCATTTTTCTGTTTCTCAAACAAAAATGCGTCATGACTTTTCCAACGACCAGTAGCGCCCAGATCTCCCAATGTACTTGCCAATCCTTCCCACCCCTCAACCCCTGCTGCCTCTGGACGAGTGGCCACCCGCGCCATAAGCAGCTCCTGTTCCAGGCATACAAGATGGTCAGGCTTTGAAGCCAGATGCCAGTTCAGAGGCAGGTGTTTCTAAACAGGCAAGTGTCCTGTTTTCAAACAGTATGACCCTGGGAAAGTCTCTTCCCCCTCCCTGTTTCTCCCTTTCTCCCCACCTACCCTATGGGGTCCTCTCAAGAAGGGAGAAGTCGGGCCTCCCCAGGTGGCACAGTGGTTGAGCGCTGGGTCGCGAAGCTGCCTGCAGCCTCTGCAGCGCTGGTTCGATCCCCGGCCACCGGGCGAGGGTCCCACATGGCGCACAGACCTCTCCTGCCGCGCCCGCTGCTCCCCTCAGCAGTGGACTTCGGTCCTTCTGCCTGCTCTGTTCCCCGCTCTGGCTCTGGTGATTCTCTCACCCTCCCGCGCTTCTGACTGTACCCAGTGCTTGTATAAATAAATAAATCTTTAAAAAAAAAAAAGTGGAGAAGGCATCAACAAGGAACTAGCAAGGTGCACGGTGTGTGTCTTCTCTGCACGAAGGAAAGAGGCCTGAGCCAGCCGGGTGGGCGAGGGGGCGTGCAGCGAGGGCTTCTCGGATGAGCACCCTGTAACGCGGGCGTTCTCTCTGCTCCCTCCCACCACCCGCCCTCCAGGCTACGGCCACGCAGCGCCCAGCACGGATGGCGGCAAGGTGTTCTGCATGTTCTACGCGCTGCTGGGCATCCCGCTCACGCTCGTCATGTTCCAGAGCCTGGGTGAGCGCATCAACACCTTCGTGAAGTACCTGCTGCACCGCGCCAAGAGGGGCCTGGGCATGCGGCGCGCCGACGTGTCCATGGCCAACATGGTGCTCATCGGCTTCTTCTCGTGCATCAGCACCCTGTGCATCGGGGCGGCGGCCTTCTCCTACTACGAGCACTGGACCTTCTTCCAGGCCTACTACTACTGCTTCATCACCCTCACCACCATCGGCTTCGGCGACTACGTGGCGCTGCAGAAGGACGAGGCGCTGCAGACGCAGCCGCAGTACGTGGCCTTCAGCTTCTTCTACATCCTCACGGGCCTCACGGTCATCGGCGCCTTCCTCAACCTCGTGGTGCTGCGCTTCATGACCATGAACGCCGAGGACGAGAAGCGCGACGCCGAGCACCGCGCGCTGCTCACGCGCAACGGGCAGGCGGGCGGCGCGGGCGGCGGGGGCGCGGGCGCGGGCGCGGGCAGCGCGCACACCACCGACTCCGCCTCGTCCAGCGCGGCCGCGGGCGGCGCGGGCGGCGGCTTCCGCAACGTGTACGCGGAGGTGCTGCACTTCCAGTCCATGTGCTCGTGCCTCTGGTACAAGAGCCGCGAGAAGCTGCAGTACTCCATCCCCATGATCATCCCGCGGGACCTGTCCACGTCCGACACGTGCGTGGAGCAGAGCCACTCGTCGCCGGGGGGCGGCGGCCGCTACAGCGACACCCCCTCGCACCGCTGCCTCTGCAGCGGGGCGCAGCGCTCGGCCATCAGCTCGGTGTCCACCGGCCTGCACAGCCTGTCCACCTTCCGCGGGCTCATGAAGCGCAGGAGCTCCGTGTGAACGCCCCGCGGGGCCTGGAGCACCTGGGGGCGCGGGCGCGGGCCAGGGCGCGCGGGGGTCTCCTTGCCTGGAGGAGCTGCAGGGGTCTGAGAGGAGCCCGGTGGGGCGCCCCCACCCCTACACACCTCACCGCCCTCCCCCAGCCCCCCATCTCCGACTGTGCCTGCCTGCACCGGCTGGCAGGAGCCTCGGGCTCTGAGGACCCCAGGGGCCTCCATCCGCACCCTGCAAATTCCGAGAAATGTGAAATGTGGGGAGTGGGGTAAGGGGGGAAGAGAAAAGCGGGGCATCTCCCAATTCCTTTGGAAATCTAAGGAGCGCTCCAGTCCTCAGAGGCCCTGCTGGTACCCAGACCTCCACCCCGCCCTTCCCCCACCCGGAGGGGACTTCGTGTTCGTGTAGGTTTGCATCTCTATTTATACCTCTGTCCTGCCAGGCCTCCCGCCTCCCCTTGGCCCCTAAAGCCAGGGTGTCTTTGTCCAGTCACCCCCCACTTAGTCCCACTCCCCTGCCTCATCCCCAGCTGTGAGCCCCTCCCACTCCCCTTCGTGGTGTTTTGCATGGCTTTGCAGTTATGGAGAAAGTGGCAACCGGCAGTCCCTAAAGCTAGTCCAAGAGGGCAGCACACAAGCTGGGGTTGCAGCTGCAGGAGGCGGTGGGGGAGACAGGACCCTCCAATCCTCTGGATGGTCAGTGACAGTTACCTGGCCGCCAGTCACATTCTGGGGGGTTGGGGTGGGGGGCGTCCAGCCTCCAGACAATGCTCTTGGAATCAAACACAACGTCATAGTTGCCATCCCAGCTGCTGCTGATTATCACGACTCTTAACCTGTGGAATGATTTTTAGCCTCTGGACACCCTGTCCTGACTACTCATTTCTTTGATTCTCATAACACCCCAATTAGGTCCCCGGAGCAGGCGTTCTCATCTTCATTTTACAGATGGCACTGAGACCCAGGCGGGCGAAGGTGACACAGAGAGCAAGAGGCAAGGGGAGCCAGCCCCGGGCTGCCTGTCCTGCCCGCCCTGGAGAGCAGAGCTCCTGCCTTGTAGAGCTGGCGCTGTGTGGGCATTTGGTGCTTAAACCAGAACCCGGGCTTAGGGCTGGGTCAGTGCTGGGCTCAGTCTATACTCCACTTGGCCAGGCGGCAGGGGCTCAGAATGGCCCCCTGAGACAGTGTAGGACCCCCAGACTCTGAACTGCCTGCTTACAAGCAAAAAAATCCTTGGGACCCCGTGGGGCTGGGTGTCACGGGGAAAGGCCAGGAGCTGGGATTTTCGGAGTTGGGCATCGGGCAGAGCAGTCAGCAGAGCCAAGAGGCATACCCTACTGGGACAGGAGCCCCGGGCCCACAGCCATTGTTGGTACCTGTCTCTCAAGTAGCTCGGGGTCAGCTGGAACCACAGCAAGGAGCACCCCAACCAGAGGGCGTGGGGAGCTTGGGCCTGGTGTGCCCATTGCCAACCCCACCTGCAACCCAGAAGCCAGATGCAGAGCAGCAGATGGAGGTCTTACCATAGTCTCCATGTCAGAACCCACAGCTGGAGCTGGTACCATGACTCAGGGCAGCATCAAGGGGGGCGGTGAGGAGCCTCTCCCCCCTCAATACTGCTCTCGAGTGCTGGTCCCATGTCACCTTAACACTGCTGAGCAAGACCAGCCCTGGGATCCAGGAGAGCAGGAGGTGACAGGCCTGGTGACCCGCCTTGCCCTAACCCAGCCACCTGCTCCTACCTCTGGGAGCCCCAAGGAGGGAAGAGTGTGGCCTGGCCTGTGTGTGAGTCCTGTCTCAGTGTGGAGGAGCTGGCTGCCACATGCCTAGGAGAGCAGGGCTGGGGACCCCAGGGTGCCCTCTGTGTTTTTATTGGGGCGTGGGGGCAGTGCTGGCTGCCTCTGTCCTGTGTGTGACCCTGCCCTCGAGGGGTCCTGTCCTGTCAGTCCCGAGGGAGCCACAACCAAAGTTTCAGAGAGATGGTGGGGACGGAGGCCTAACGGCCTGGGCAGAGCTGGGTGTCTCTAGGTCCTTCCTGTGGAACTGGAAGGCCTGTGTTGTCTCCCCCTCCCCGCTCCACTGCAGGCAGCCTTTCTGCTTCCCCAATGCCTTATGCCTGGGCTCACTGCCACAGAATATGCAATATGTGTGGGTGACGTGCCCCCACACCCACACCCCCACCCCGGGCATTCCCTGGACCCCAAAGGCTGTGGTTGCCTCGGCCTCTCTTCAGCCCCTCCTGCCTACCTGTCTTCACACTGAGAATGGCGCCTAATAAATGCTGTCCATGGAGACCAGGCTCAGACTCAGCTGCCTCTGTCGCCGTGTAGCCTCGGGGCTACCAGAAGCGTCCATTCCCCCACTGCCATCACCACCACCACCAGCAGGGTCTACAGACACACGTGAAGCTGATGGCCACTGACAGCCCTTTACTTCTGGGCCTGGGGAGGAGCCTGGAGACAACACTTGTTTGCCTTTTGTGATTTCCTCCAAAATCCAGGTTTTTCTGTCATATCCTAGAGCTGATAGAAGAAGAAAAATAGAGGACCTTCGGGAAAAAAAATCACCTGATCCCGCCCTTCCCCGCTGAAGACCCCGTCCTGACTATTCATTCCTTTGGTAAATCGAGGTCCACAGAGGCAAGTCTCTGCCCAGAATCACACAGCAGTGAGGGGGGCAGAGTACTAGACCAGGACAGTTCCTAGCCCAGTGCTGCTCCTCCCCACCTGGCCTTGGGTGTTTGACGGGTCACGTCGCAGCTGACAGTGACACCTCCCTATTTACTGGGGGCTCTTCTCCCACAGGGCCCTCCTCCCTGACTCCCCAGACCCGTGGGCTGATGACACAAACATGCCTCCTTCAAAGGGAGACACTTCGCAAGCACCTTTATCTGGGTGTGGAGGGACCCCAGAGCCCAGGACAAACCAGGGAGCAGATGCACCTGGCCCAGCTGGGGCGATGCAGAGTCAACGAGCCAGACGTGGCTGAGTGCATCCGGCAGTGATGCCTGGACACCCCACCCCACCCCCATCTTCGTGCCTCTCTACCTATATGTCACAAAACAATGCCTAACCCCTGCTACACCCAGCGCATTCTAATACTCTCTATTCTAGTTCATGTTATTCAAATGCCGGTCACAACCCACTACATTGATTTTTCTTCCCGCTAATGGTTTGCTCCCTGCACATTGAAATGCACTGGAGAAATAAAGGTGGGGGGTCAGGATGCTTCGCCCCAGTCCTCCCTGTACCCACATACATCAATTGAAAGATACAGAAGGAGACACCTATTTATTGGGGGCTTGGGAACCAAAGGAAGCAGTGGTAGCACCTGTAGCCTCTCCCCGCTCCCTTAAGAGGCAGAACACAGCCGGCCTTCAGGTGACAGGCCCCAACCTGGCCGTACCTGCAGCTGCGGGCAGACCCCTGGGCATGCTCTTTGTTGGCCTGCCCCCCTTAGCATGTTCACAGCAAAGCAGACTCACCTGACCTAAGACCACCTCATCCAAAGCCAGGGCCCCCTATCCTGGGCCCAGCTGCCTCTGCCTTTCTCAGAACAGCTAAGAGCAACAATCGCAGAAACAATGTCATTTTTGAGGTCAGCAGTGCCCAGAACAAGGTGGCTTTTACTTAAGCAGCTTTTGCAGAACATAAATATGCCGACCCTTGCCCTCCTTCCTTCACCGCCTGGGATGAAATAATCACAAACAGGACTCTGAGGAATCCCTGAGGGGGGTGCGTTCATCCATCTGTCCGAGGGGGGCCAGGATGGTGGCAGAGCGGAAGAGCAGCAATGAACCTCACCCCAGGCCCTGCGTGCAGCTCCAGGCGCAGCCTCGCCCTGGCGCCTGTGTAGGCTTTTGATCTCCAGATGATGCCAGCCCTGTGCTCCTCACTTCCACACAACATCTGAGGCATCTTGCACTAAAAAATATATGTACAGCAAAACAAAAATAGAAAGCTCGCACCGCTGAGTGGGGGTGGAATAGGAATATGCTCAGGCGCGCTGATGTGGTTACCCAATGTGCACATCAGACAGAGACAGAGCATCCTGGGAGCCAGGAGAGAAAGAGGCACCGGCAGCGACTCTTCCCAAGTCTGTCCCACGTGTACCTCATGGTGTGACTGGCAGGGAAGGTCTTCTCTTGGGCAAATAAGTCTAGAAACACAGCACACGTCACTTGTGCGCTCCACGTAGCATCTTCCCTTAGCAAAGGTTATGAAAAGCCCCACAGCAAACACAGGTGTTTGCCTCGACTTATATCACCTCTGCCAGAACTCAGTCCTGGCACCAGGCCTCTGTCTTCAGGACATGTCTGCCCACACCTGGCCTCCACAGAGGGCGCTCAGGGAAATGCTCATTGTCTGATGAAGAAAGAGGGCTCATCTGTCCCTTTCAAATAAATTCTAAAGGGAGTTTAGCTTCTAAGTCCTTCCATCACTGAAGGTTGTGACATGACAGAACAGCTTTTCAATTACGTGTTAGCTCAAGCCCAAGCCTGGGGACTTGCCAAGATCAGGCAGTGGCTGAGTGGATGAGCTGGGATTTGAACCTGGGGCCTGTGATCCCAAAGCGCAGGCTTCCCCCCCTCGCTGTGTCCTTTCCCAGGGTGGTCGGCTCATGTCTTCAGCAAAGGGTTGGCAAAAGTTGCAGGGTTGTTGAGGACATGTCATTTCTTATTCAGAATCTCGGTGACAGGGAAGTGGTAAGCTAAAAAACTGTTACCCTTCAAGGATGACAGATTCTGGTGGAGCTGAGAAACCCTGCTCCATCTCAGGCCCTCGCACTCCCGCCAAGAGAACCATCTAGCTCTTTCCATGGGCTCAGCATTGCACTCCAAGCTCAATAGCAACTTATTTAGGGAGTCAGGGGCAGGCAGGGAGGACTTCTTCAGGACAGAGCAAAGAGCTGCTGCCCACATGGCCGTGCCAGCCCCGAGCCCAGGGCAGGCCTCCCCATCTGCACTGAGGAGCGTGAAATTGATGCCCCTGCTCACTCCCAAACTAAGTTTAGATTAGAAGTCTGGGAGGTGCTGTTTCCTGGGAGGCCTGAAGAGAGGAATCGGCAGTGGACACGGCCCCTCCTCTGTCCCAGCCATGCTACAGAGATGTTGATACAACAGCCCCACTTACTTCTATCACCTTTGTCAAAGGCTGGGTGTAGGCATGCGTGCCTCAAACCCTTGGTCCCACAGCTCTTTTTCTTTTCCAGAGGAAAGGATTTTGATTCACAGAGAGGACGTGATATGCTCAAGGTCTTGAAATAAGATAATGATGTGGCCAGGACTGGAACCCAGAGAGCCTGACTTTCCATCCCACACACAGAGTGGGGCCCACCTTCTCTGACTCCAATTTCAGATGAGAGCTGCTAATCTTTGCAGTTGAGTCATTTAGATGCTGGAAAATTTCCACATCTGCATTAGGACCAACACCAGGCAACTCACTCCCGCCTCCCAGTCTCCCAGCTGCAGGGGCGGAGGATGGAGGGGCCTGCACCCCCTTAGGGCAGGGGCTGTGATGGAATTGACCTCCATGATCTCTGGCCATGAACTCCCCAAGCGTCCACATTAACAGAATTTTCAACGTATAAAACTTTCTCCCTTTGTTCTTTCATTTGATCATTGGCCAGCTCTGTGACTTAGGTGAGGATTAGCACCCCCATTTTACAGATCAACCAGGGTCCTGAGAGCAGGGCTTGTCCCATGTACACCCCCAGATCAGAAGCACTGAGCAGACCACCTGGTGTTTCCTTGGCGACTGGTGTCTGGGCCAGGGCTGCAGCTCGGCGCCAGTGACTCAGCTCTCCACGTCGGTTCCCAGGGGCTCAGGAGCCCCCAGGTGGCCATGTTCCCCAGAATCCACTGGCAAAATGAGACAGAGTCATGAACTCGTGACACTCTCTACCATGTGCCCCAGGCAAACTCCACCAGATCCCAGGACTTTGGACACAAGGCAGCAGGATGTTCAGCCAACAACCTCTGCCTTTTGGAGGGAGGTCAGAGGTTCCTGGGGAAAAGGTCATGCCTTTAACCCAGATCAACTCCCCAAATGAACATTTCCACAGTTTTTATTTCCTGAAGAGAGAACATAGACCAGGTCATCCCTGACTACAGAATATGCTAGTCAGAATTGGGGTGGCAGGAAGAAGGCCTCCCTCCCTGGGCTTGTTCTGGACCCAGCACCTCCTTCCAGATGGCTCAGGTCCAACTGGAGAGACAGAGGTGCCCTAGGCAGGAGCCCTGGCATGGCTGGGTTATGCTCTGTCTTCATCTCTGGTCCTCCACCCTTCTTTGTAGTAAAAAAATTCATATTCTTACTTCAGGGCAGAAAAAGCTCTAACTACTTAGCACCACATCTGTGGCTCCAGGGGGTCCTGCAGCTGCTCTCCTTCCTGATTTCCCTCCAAAGGTAAAGGGACACCAGAGAATCAAGGACACGTTCATTACTGACTGTCTACTATGCGCCACGACTTTACTGCCTCACCACAGTGCTGTGAAGCTGATACAGTTGCCTTAAACTGGCAGATGAGAAAGGTAAGACTCAAAGAGGTTAGGTGACATGTCCAAGGTCACACTGCTAGTACATGATATGGGCCTAGGACCTTCTAGTTCCAAGATTCAAGCGCTTTCTGCTGCACCTCCTTGCCTAGAATGTATATGTCCAACCTCCCCCAAAGTAAGAATTGCCTCAACCTCTTTGCAAACAGTTTATGCAGCCTTGATCTTCAGGACCCTCATTCTCTAAGGCAGCCCCTTATTCACTGAGCAGCAGCTCTAAAGACCTAAATATCTTCCTTCTGTTGAGGCAATTACTGCTTGGGTTCTGGCTCTGCCCCCTGGAGCGATATGAAGTTATCCCCACTGTTGTAAGCATCTCCGTAAAGGATTCAAGATGGCTTCCTGCACAGACAGGGCCCCCAGTCTTTCTCAGGCTAAATGCCCCATTCCTTCAGCCACACCTCCCATCATGACAGTGCAGCTAGCCCCCTTGCCACCCTGGCTCCCTTCTCTAGAAGACTTTCAGCTTACATCTATCACCTGGAACTTGCTGTAACAAGTGTGGTCATGCTGGCACAGAGGTGGTGGCCATCCCCTCTGTTGCCCTGGGTACTATCCTCCTATTCATACAGCCTAAGCATGTATCTAATTTATAAGCAACCACCTCACACTGAGAGTGCTGCCCACCAAATCCAACACCCACCTCCCAGACCTCCCAGGGTTTGTCATGAGGACCGCTGTTACAGATATAGTTGGTTACCTACTGAAAAATCATCCCTGATGACAGAAGGTTGAC